TTTTTAAAGAATAATCATTTGGGAATTTTTTAAAAATCAACTTTCAGAACCAACAATTGCTCCAAACCAGCAATTTCAGTGTCCAATCAAAGTAGCTCATTTGGCACCCAAAAGCAATGCCAGCTTTGTTCTCATTTCAAAGGGATGAATGAAAACTACATAAACCCACAGCACCAGCAAGGTTTTATAAAACTACGGTCAACACAGGGAACTGTCACATTCGAAACTTTCCTCACCCTGCCATTTTCTACCCATAAAAAAATAAGAGAACATAATCAGATATGCAAAGTTGTGTGGGTCTGTGTTTTCATAAGGCGCCCTGCTTTTCAATCAACCCGCGGCCACGTTTCTCCATATAAGAAAACAAGAGGCGAGGAACGAACGTACGAGGGGCACAGGTGCTGCTTCTTTTTCCCCTTCCCTTTCTTTGAAGACTTTTCCTTAGAATAGGCTTCTTCCACCCACAAAGAAATTAAGATAAAAAGGGTGACTGGCAACAACAACTTCATCTTGACAAATTGAATTTCAGGAGCTCGACCTACAAAAGAGAACAAGAAAATATTTACATTTACGACGCAAATGATAATACATGACTGTCCCCTTGAGCATGATTGTCATCCGAAGGACAAATACATTTGGATTTCATATTTTCTTTACTAAATCCTGTACAGCTACACATCACTATATATTAAATTCTCTTTTATGTAGCAGTAGTAAAGTCTCTTTTATATAGTAGTAAAAGTCAGTTTAAATAATGGGTCAAAGAAAACAAGACTGCAATGAGGTATAAGAGGTTACCTTATAAAATTTCTGACTCCAGGGTTACATAAAATTGTAAATTGATACTGGATTGGACATTATAGCAAAACATGCTGAGGAAGATATCAGAAGGACGTTTAGCACGGTTAAAATGCCTATCTCCAATGAAATACTGAAGTTATTTTTTTTTTCTTTTGGAACATCTACACTCTGTTAATTTCATATTCATATTTTTTAAAAAACAATAAAACTCAGTATTAAATAACTGGCAGAGATAAAGAAAGCGACTAGTGCCCACCGGTCTCGCACCCTAAATTCCCGGGTTATTCACACACTCCATCTGCAGACCGCCTCAGACGCCCAAGGCGCAGGCAGGTCACTGCAGGTAGCACGGCCGCGCCGGCTTCCGGACCTCCCCTGCTCTGCGCGGCTAAGTCTGTCAGCAGGGCTCTGCCTGGGAGATTCTAGGAGGCGGACCAAACGCCCTCAAATAATCTTCTTAGCTGCATTTTAATAACATCATTCATGCTCAGACAGGACTTCTCTTCTGGCCAGAATCTGCTGCATCAAAAAATCCCCAAAACGCCAGTCGGCGCGCCTCTGCAGCGGCGCGCGCGGCTCGGCTCCCGGCCTGCGCCCCCGCCCGCGGGTCGCCCGTCTCCCCCAGG